GTGTTCGCATGTGTCTCTGTGTGTGTGTGTGCGCGTGCGCGTGCACGCTGTTTTTGTGTGAGAGTGTGGTGCGAGAGAGAGAGAGAGAGAGAGAGTGTGTGTGTGTGTGAGTGTGTGTGTGTGAGTGTGTGAGTGTGTGTGTGTGAGTGTGTGTGTGTGTGTGAGTGTGTGTGTGTGTGGGTGGGTGGGGGTGGGGGTGGGGGTGGGGGTGTGGGGGTGGGGGTGGGGGTGTGGGTGTGGGTGTGGGTGTGGGTGTTGGGTGGGTGTGAGTGCGTGTGTGTGCGTGCGGGTGCGTGCGTGCGTCTACCTCCCAGGCGCTCACGCTCAAGGCAAGCCTTGGCATACGCTTGTACATGTCCTCCCCTCGTCTTTCTTCTTTTCCTCTCCCCCATGTGCACTAGGCCAGCCGGTGGTTTGTTCGGTTTCGGTTTGTGTGGTCGGTCTTTGGCTTACGTTGCGCATCAACAATGCCCAAGCAAACATTTACAGCAGACCTGTCGTAGCAGTCGTAGCAGATCTGCGCTTCGTCGGCTACAGCATGGCATACCGACAGCACCTCGACCAGGCGGAACATAGCGAATCCGATCAGTCGTCCAGGCCTACAAGTACAAGCATTCACCGGCCTACGTACCCTGCTGCCACCATCTTCAAAAACCGTGGGATGACTGTCGACTCAGAAGCCCCGAGACATACACGATCAGCAACGCCAGTTTTGCAGAACGGTTAGCAGAGGCAGCAAGTAGCCGACCCAGCTGACCAAACAGTGTCTCACAAGGTACACCGCAGTTGCAAAAACCGTGACGCTCGCCTTGTGCCTGTGTTCCAGGGCATGCTGTGCAGCTGGCGTATGCTGTGCAGCTGGCGTGTACCCACCTTACCCCTCCGACCCGCATTGATCCCCCATCCGCAGTTTTGTCTTACAGTTGTTGCAGCTCTTGCCATCCATCGTGCTTCCACGCTCACCTAGAGAAGGCGCCATGAGCAGTCAGCCAGGCAGTACGCATTTTCCTGCCACGCCTGCAGACCACAGCAGCAGGCGCAGCCGGGGCCCATGACATCGGAACGCAGTATGGCATGCCAAAGCATCACCAACAACATGCCATTCTTTCCACAATGGGCAGGCCCCACCCGCCCCAACCCACCCTTCCCCCCCTCTCCCCCTGGCCCCTCTCCGCCTTGTGGCGCCCCGCCGTTGCCCCCTCCCCCTCCCTCTGTGCCCCCTTCCTTTCCTCCCCCCCCTCCCAACACAACCCAACTTCGCAACCAACATGTCCACATCACACAGGCAAAACATTTTTGACAACTCCAACACCAACACACATCAACAGCACCTAGGCATCGTTTACAGCAAAACATATCGAGCACCACCTATGCCGAAGGAGTTTGTGTCCGAAGGAGCCAGCGCGCTCGCGTTGAAGGGCCGGATCATGTTCAGCAGTTCGCACAGCTCTCGGCGGTGATCGCCCCGTGGTACAACGACGCCATCGCGAACGGCGATCGTCGAGCGCTGCGGTGAGCACGCCACGATCGCTGGAGGACCGAAGCCTGGATCCCCGCTCTCGCAGGAGGAGATGAATGCGCTGCGCTCGATCGTATATGAGAGCGGCGGGTTCAGAACGATCCAGCAGTGCGTTCGTCACTGGGAATGTCTTGAAACGTGGGCCAGGTCGCAGAATATTAACGCCATCCCCCTGACCACGGAGGTGTTGGTGAAGTACTTCTGGACCTGGCTGATCGTGGCTGCGGACCCACTGTGATCCCCTTCGTTCGGGGGGCTGTGAAGTGGATCTGTAAGAGGATTGGGATGCAAGCGCCGGATCTCCTCGACGCTCGCATCATGGCCCTGCAGAAGAGGGTGTACGGCGATCGCGGAAAGGAGACGCGCGAGGCCGTCCCGATCCCACTGGCACTGGTAGCGTCGCTCGAGCGGTTTGTGTGCGCAAGGTTCCGATCGAGCCAGTTCGTGCTAGCCTTCTTCGCATGGTGGATCTTG